CACATTACCGATTTCAATCAATGTTCACAATCATCCAACATATAATAATATCCTTATTTACCTTAATGATCATGGACATGAAGTCCTCGGTATTGGCAGTGTAGATATCTAACTGCTGAATGGATGTGTACAATCTGTTCCACGTGTATTATAATTTTCCATCATTTGGCAAAATCTTCTTTTCGTAGGATTGATTGCTAACAAAAATCACAACCTTGAAGTCAAGGTAGAAGACTTCTTCATCATAATTAGACTCACCCATGAGTTTGAACTTTGTGAGACTTTCGAAAGTATCATCAAGGCTTGTACAAACTACAAGACTACATCATCACGCGTGCTGAAGTAAACATCATCATCAATAAATCAATTGCTTTAGAGAATTGGTATCGTCGACTCGATCATTTTAACAATGATGGACTATAATGCATGATGAACTCTGGAGCTGGTTTAGGACTACCAGCCTTAACCATACCTAAAAATTCATGCATAAGATGCTATCACATGAAGCTTGTTTGCACCCAAATTATCTAATTATGCCATCACTTGTGCAATTGTTTCTTTCAAATTAGTAGACTCAAATATTTGTGATCCATTTTGCACTCGATCTTTAGTAGACTTTAGGTATTTCATGACCTTTGTTAAGATTATAGTCGTTTTCTTTGATTTTATTTTTTTAGCTCAAAAAGACAAATGTCTTGATAAATTCAAATTGTTTGATTAAGAAGCCGAGAAAAAAATACAACTCAACATTTTTACTCTACACACACAACAGTGAAAAATATACTTCTTAATTTTTCACCGATTATTGTTCTGTCCATTACATAAAGCAAAAATTAACTATCTCTTATCTCCTCAACATTACAATATTGCCAAAAGATGCATTCGATACTTCCTTCACATCACAAGATTCTTGTTTATTGACCAGAACTTCTCCAATCATCTCTAAAGCGAAACAATTTGAGCCGTATGTGAGAAACTCAATTGGTGAAGTCTAAAGAAGACTCATGATGTTAGTCCTACCGAGCTTCTCATAAGTATAAAGTTCTTATGTATCTCATTTACACGTCTTAGCACAATTTTGTACATCAACATTATCCCAAACAAGGTAAATTAGATTCACATTCTACTGTGTGCATACTTTTGAGTTATGATACTCACATCAAAGGCTATCGATGTTAACACCTTGATACTTCAAAGATGCTAGTATTACAAGATGTTTAGATTATTAAAACATCTTAGTAAACTTATCATCAACGTGACTCATCAATGATGATTCATTTGTTGTATCAGCCTCCAACTCAATGACATCTACATCAACATGAACATCTATGTCCACATTTCCAAGCCTTATACATGAAATCTCTACTTCATGTACAAGGCTGATGAATGAGATAAAAAGATGGATGAAATACATCCATCTTCCAACTTTCCACACTCAACAACCAACAAATTTGCATACTCAAAGATCCAACAACTCCTTACATTCCAGCTTATCCCACTCGCCACATTTCTACTTCCAATTGTTCCACTTCGAAGAACTTGACTACCAGCAAATCCAGCTCCTTGCAAATTCGAACAACTTGCAAATTGACTCAATGACATTTCTCACATATGAACAACACAAATTTTGTGAGTCCATTGATTTATTATCTAACTTCCAAGTTTTTTCAACACATCATGATTGTGATCAAGCAAATGTATTATCATTAATTATCACGCCACTCATATCACGCAAATGAATCGATAGCTTTGAATATTTCTAGGGACCCACCTCGATCAAGTCGACCAAAACAAGCTCCTTGTCACTTGGATTTTTTCATTAAGAAAGTCTCTGCTGATGTCATCAATGAATTTCTACCAGATGATGGAAACAATTGGCAGTTTCATGACATATGTCATGATGCTAATTGGATTGTGGCGATGGAGGCTGAATATGCATCCATATTACAAAACAACACATGGGAGTTGCTATCTCTAACTTTAGAAAAACGTGCAATTATTGCAGCATGGAATTTAAACTCAAACATGTCTCTTTTTGCCAACCATCTTGATACAAAAACTGTTTAGTTGGCCGCAATTTTCAGCACCAAGAAGCTTCAGATTATCTCCGTAATCTGAAGATTACGGAGATAATCTTCAATCTCCGTAAATTGAAGATTACGGAGAAACACTTGTATCAATGATGAAATGCAAAACCATCAGCATCATCTCTGCCTTTGTCGTTTATCACAAGTGGCCCAAACGTCACCTTGATGTTCATATTGACTTCTTAAATGAAGTTCCTCAAGAAACGTTCATATGAAGCAATCTGTAGGATTTGTAGTTGCCGGACGAGGGCAAAAAAAATTGTCATCTCAAACGCGCATTATATCAACTTCGTTTGTGGCTAGGCGCATGTAATTATTGGATTGATGAAGCATTACAAAAGAGAGTTTTAAAACGCAGTCATGCCAACTCAAATTTATACATACACCAGCAAATTGATGAAATTGTTCTTTTAATCTTGTATGCTGACGAATTTTTTCTTACAAGCAACAACTCTTGCATTTTAGAATAGCTAGCCACATCACTATTGGCGTACTTTGCTATGATGAATCTTTATCTCATCATCAAATATCTTGGCGTCAATTTTGTCTAGCTTCCTTGCGACGTGCTACCACATCAAGATTACTACATTTTTCTCATTTTAAACAAGTTTTTCATTTTTGAGTGTCAACCAAGTTTTTTTTTCTGCTCAAGGAAGGTGTTCAACTTTGATGCAAAAACTCATCATCTTGACTCACCATTCTACAAACGCCTTGTCATAAAGTTGTTGTACTTAAGCCATATGCAACTCGATATTGCATTTGCAACCAATTAGGCAAGTAGCTACGCGCATGAACACCTGGAACTTCACCTTGCAATTGTTAAAATCATTTTAGGTTAACTTAAGAGATATCCGTCATATGGCATTTTATACGTCAATGAGGATGAAAATCTTCAGATATATTTTGATGCCAACATAGGCGGAACCTATCATCCACATGTTGATGAAGATTAAGTGGATATCATCCAGTTGCAACATTGTAGATCATCATTAAATGACTTAGTAATTTTAATGTATGTTTCTTACTAGTAGCTTTAATTAGATTGATAGCTTTGTATATATTAAATGTGTTATCAATTGTTTAACCAAGTTTTTCTATTTTTGTCACAATGATTCATGTGTCATTCTACAGTTCATTAGTTGCGATGAAAGCACCGATCTTGTGGATTGTGATTTTTTTAATTATTGGTTTGTTTGAAATTGCAAGACTGCAAGTGTAATAGATTTACATCAAGAGAAGCTCAGCCTATGCTCTATGAAGTCTAATTATGATGACGACAATGAGTTTCTCTATTGGTCAACTGTTGCAAAATGGATTGGATAGATCTTGTAGATTGCATGTTGTACATCTACCAAAAGTGCGCCTTAGCACAATATTTTTCCACAACCTATCGTAATTTGCTTTGTAGATGAATTTGGTCACACCGCAAAATTTGTACATGGTGTGCATGCGTGAAATGGCGGATAAAGTAGCAGGCAGATCTCCAACTCTCTCAGATTTACGACATTGAGATTTTTGAATGCTAGGGTAACTTGCATTGCCAAACTAATTGCCAAAACCATAGCTGCTGATACTTTTTTGTCAACAGCAAATCAAAAATCTCTAATCCAACATCAATTCGATTTTGATCTCGATCCAACACCCATCGGTAAAATGATACTTGATGGTTGCTAGTAAGCTATGTATGTTCTAAATCAGTCCCATCAAATAAATTCCTCGTGTTTTCACTATATGTAGATTCATGCTTGTGGGCAGAGGGATCCTCTATCCACAAGATGCAGTTTATATCTTGTAATTGATTCATTTCAATATCTTAAACCTCCACTTATATCAATACTTTAGTTGATGTTTGAATCATTAAGAACTAATTCTTGCTATTGTTTCAATCTCCTGTACTTAACAACTTCTTGACAGTTTGTTGGCTCCAATTTATAGGCTTTAACTGCAGCCAATGTTTTTTCAAAACTCGAGCTTAATTAATAGTTGTAATATGTTATGGAAGATCTACTCTCCATAGAAGAGTTGTTAAGATTTGTGATAATGTTCTCATCCATCCACAAAAATTTATATAGGGAAAATTCTGAATGATTATTTTGCTTGCAAAATATATTGAATGTGATAGGACTGAGATAGGAGGAACTCTACCAGAAAGTCGCCGCTCTCTAGAATGTCCAAAACTGATCGTTGTGCTCTATTTCAACAAAGTTGCTCGAGGGCTTTTCTGGTCACTTTCCACTCGAGTCAAGCGGTAGTACAGTCTGTGACTCTTTTTGACTCAAGTCAGCCGTCATGCAACCAGCAAACGATGGAAACAAAGAGCACAGGGATGCCGTACTACACTCATAGGATGGCGATGGCGAAACGCCAATGTCTGTTATCTAGCCGCTACTATTACCCCCTGGAAGCAGGACACGGATACCAGCCGGTACTGAGGTACTAGCGTAAAAATCTCCGGATGAAGACCTGTATCCCAGTCGAAGCTGTTCACCTTGCCTGCTAAAAGGCCGAAATATCCAGGGGGTGGTGCACGTGGCCGGATATTTACGGCCATAGCAAACACTGATGGCGACCTCGTCAGTAATCATCAAGACTTCTGAGGACTTTTTGCTCAATCTTGGTTCAACTTGGCAGTCCGGTGTAATTCGTCCAGCCAACATCCGAACTCTTTGGATCCTGTTCCTTGCGAATCTGTGACGAGGAGCGATCGCAGATCTTTTTGACCCGTCGAAGACATGGTCAGCGACGGGTCAAGTCTTCTCTCTTCCTAATGGACTTTGATAATCCCTGCTGGATTCTGGTTGAGGTAAGATGTTCTCAAGTCGGTCGGACATTTGGGTCCAGCTTGTAAATTGAGATCCTGGCATGTCTTCTTTTTTAGAAGACATGCCAGGATCTCAACCACTAGGGGCTACCGTACAGATAGGATGGCACGTCAGTTCCGTCCTGGGAATGAGATATGTTAGAGGCCCTGGAAATTGCAGCACCTGTTGTAGCTTGCTGTAGCACTTGCTCAGAGATGTTTTAAAAAGTTCGTTTCATACGTAAACACGGTGGACCAGAACTTCAGCACATTGAGATACATAACTGACATTCCCTTTGTGTTTATGAGACGATTAGCTGTGCACTTGACGGTGAACGTGAGTTTCATTCTTGGAGCTGGTTCATATCTCCAACAGGTTCAGAGTGACCTTTGGTTATGGACTGCTAGGCTCTGGTGGCCAGCACTTTGTAGCTGCATCTGCTCTCTGCTGGCAGCGAAGGCCTCTTTTATCTGAGCCTTATTGCTTCGTGGTCCAAGTTCTTACGAGCCCGAGAAGTGGGACGAGATTGTGCACACTCTTCTGCACACATGGCGTCCACCTCGGTGATTGCCGTCAGTAGTCCGTGCATATCAAATGTTAGAGAAAAATGCCACAAAAGAAGTGGCAATCATATCCGTCGACTTTCTTTCAATCTTCGCCCAGGCAATGGAATCGAATCATTGCATACAACATTCAGGCTTGAGAATAGGGGAACTTTGTGGAACTGGGCAAGAACCAAACAGGGAAGATGGTCGGCTCATTCAGCAATTGGAGAGCGGGCAACAATCAAGTGTCATGCAGTTAGCGGCATTGAGTTGACCCAAGGGTTGGACAAAGTTGATGGGTCAGAACCTGTGCATCAGTTTGTCATTGTTGGAGCAGGAATTGCAGGCTTGGCTACTGCCGTTGCCATGGACAAGTGAGTATCCTCTCCACAAGATCGGCTCATTGCTAGTTCATGTCTACTACCGGCGCACACACCCAGCTTCAAAGTTACGTCTCGATGAAACATGAAACTTGAGATTTGACATTTAATTGTGTTATTGGAGAACGTCATGCATTCTCGTCTGGAACACATGACAATGCGATTGTGAAAAGCAATGCGATGTCGGCTTGAAGCAGAATGAAGCCGGCTGAGGGAGAAGGTTTTCGTACAGAAAAGCAGGCCTGCAAGTTTGGATCTTCGATGCTACTCGGTCTGTGGGGCTTTGAATGGAAACCTTGTCTCAAAGCTCAAGCTAATTATAGCAACTCCAGATCAGACTTTGACCTTCAATGAGATTCTTCTCGTAACTAGAATGTCATGAAGACTGGACAGCTGCTGGACTAACGCTTGTGGCATGCAAGGGAAACTAACCGTCAGAGCATATGGATCTCCCCAGGATCGGAGTTAAGACTCTTGTTCTGGAACAGTCTGCAGGACTCAGAACGACAGGCTCTTCCTTGTCTTTATGGAGAAATGCTTGGCGTGTTCTGGACTTGCTTGGGGTTAGTGATGAACTCCGCACAAAGCACTCGTTAATAACTGGGTATGTGACAACTTGGCTGAGCATGGTCATGTTTACACTTACGCGTCGATGTAATTAGCGCTAGCCTCATCTTCCGCAGCTACTCGTATGACAAGATGATAGTCCTCGATTCTTCAAAAATTCCCTATCTACATCGCCGTTGTCATGATATTATCATAGCATGGAAAATTTGGTGAGTCGGTGAAGTCTCAACTTAGAACAAAACCTCCAGCAAAGTGAGGTGAAAACGAAGTTTGGATCCAGGGATAACGTGATCGCAACCTTCCAAGTTCGAGCCTGACGCAGTCGGGAGTTGTGTTGCATGCATGCAGGGTCAGATTTTTTAATCAGGACGGAAAACTGCTGAAATCCTTCGAGGTAGACGAATGTCCTGGAGGGTAAGTACGCTCTTACTCTGTCCGCAGTGGTAAGTGAAAATCGAGACATCTGCTTCCGAGGGTTAGAATCTTTCAGTACCTTCTACTTGATACGAGTGTCACGAATTCCTCAGCAGTTGTGCTCAATGCAGATGGTTCACTCTAATGTGCGACGGTTCTGCGATCTGCGGGATGTGCATTTGGACTCCTTAGACTTCAGTCACGAAGCTGCTCGTAACTCGAGTATTATAAACGTATATTCCAGAAGGACCTTTCTCTGCACGCCTGGTTAGATACAAGCTTTACAAAGTCAAGTTCAAGCGTCGTTTGTTGAGCCCTCTGTGTTTTGCAGCCCGCACGTCATTTGTTGTGTGGAGCGCAAATTGTTGGCCGATTCTCTCGCATCACGATTGCCTCCAGAAACAATTCGCTACAACTCCCGAGTTCTTTCCATCGAAAGAGAATCAGAGAATGGTCCCTTCGAACTGAAATTATCAGACGGGTCCGTCTTACGAACAAAGGTAAGAGAATATTTGCCACACGTTTCCGTGGAAAAGATGAGTGAATTTTGCTTCATGCTGCGCTAGATTTGGAATTGACATTTGCATTCGTGCTGCGAAGCGGTCAGATAAGCCTGTGTTAATATAATGTGAAGTTAGCGCTCTGAAAGCGCCCTGTTGATGATGAGTTGGAAATTCATTCTGTCCTTTTAATTTGTTATAATTTTTGATCGCAATTGCAGTGCATCTTCTGAAACTTCTAAACAAAGAAAACTAAAATCTGAATTAAAACCGCTTTGCTCGCCCGTACAGGTCCTGCTCGGCGCTGATGGGGTTAATTCTGTGGTAGCACGGTGGATGGGGTTGGCAAAACCTCGATACGTTGGGCACATTGGGAATCGAGGGCTGGCAGTGTACCCTGCTGGACAGCCCCATGGTGACAAGTTTCGACAGATTATTGGCAATGGCGTTCGAGCTGGTGTGCTACCCATATCTGCTACTAAGGTTTATTGGTTCATCGTGCACCCCGTGGCAAGTCTAGGTATTTCCTGTCTTCCTTCCAATGCCATTCTTCTTGATCCGCCAAGTGTCACCAGCTTCTTTTCCATGTAATCCTTACTCAAAATTGGAAACATATGATAGATGAGTTGCAATATTGTTTCATTGCTCCTACTCTGACTGTTGTAAGATGTCGGTGATGTAGGTCCCAGAGTAACTGATCCAAATGAGGTGAAGGCCGAGTTGTTAAGAACGCTCGACGGCTGGCCAGAGTATATTATAGATTTGATCAACCAAACCCCGCTGGAGAGCATATCAAGATCAGCTTTGGTGGATCGATGGAATCTGCCGGGTTTTACTCCACCAGTAGCCCAGAACGGTATAACTCTGGCAGGAGATGCATTGCACCCTATGACACCGAGCCTGGGGCAAGGAGGATGCATCGCTTTGGAGGATGCAATCAAGCTGACTCAAACTGTAGGTGTGGTTCTCGCTAAAGGAGACAATGCGGATCCTGAAAGTATAACCAAGGCCATGAAAGAATATGCAGCTGAGAGGCATCAGAGAGCTTTTCCGCTAACAGTTCAGTCCTTCGTTATGGGACTCTTTATGCTGACTAGCTTCCCACCTTTCTCCTTTGTAAGGAACCACTTTCTCATTCCCAAAATGATCGGCCCCATGTCATTTCTCGCCGCAACATTCTATGACTGTGGAGAACTTCCCAAAGCTCAACTTGTAAGAAAGAAATCGTACCCCATGAAATGACTTTCACTTGTCGAAGAATGCGGGAAGGAAGGATGCCTGTTGCAGCATTTCGAACGATACAAACATCTGTTTGAGGGGAAGTTATTAAAAGCATGAGGTGTCTTTTCAGTGTTATAGAATATCCTTTTGTTTCTCAAACTGTTGAAAGTACTAAGTCTCATATTGACGTGGAGAGAATAAGCACACAATGACGCCAGGCCGTGTCGCAAGCTAGCAAGATTGGGGAAGAGATTGAAATCCATTGGCAGAGGTCTCTGGACCTTTTCACCTTCCATACTCCCCATCTACTTTGATATCGTAGTTAAGAGGTCCTAGAATTCTTCGAAATTCTTAGCAATGTCAGATACGAGCAGTCTTGTCATTCCTTATCAGTGAAACCAGATATTTAGGGAGGAAAGACGATACATACGATCATAGATTAAGCAGCAACTTGAAGGCATAGTTATATGCTGATGCTATCAGATGCAGATTCGGATGCATTTTCATGTATACATTGAAAGTAAAGCTTCTTCTTTTCTCCCGAACTTTGCCAATCTCTCTACGTTAACACTTGAAGTAGTCCTTCCAATTTCCAGCTTTGACTTTTGCTCGAAGACTTCAGCAGAGAGTGTTATTTCCAGTTCCCACACAGCGAGTTATTAGTTGCGTTGGCGTTTGGTTGCAGGTGATTAAGCTCTTCCACTTGCAACTGAAGATCGTTTTCATGTTTGAAAGTCCGAAAGTCCCAAGGCTGCATGATCTTGACAAGTGGTGGCATTAACCATCAAACTTACATTGAAAAACATGACCCAGCTGCTCATGGCGGAACAACAATTAACGGATACATGAACGAAGCGACTTGGGTTGTATCACACTAATAGAGAATGTATAATACAGCTGGAGGAAAAACTCTATTGTATGACAGAAGTCCCGGGATGAACGGCAAGACGGAACAGGTATGAGCCGCTTCGACAAGGCCATGAAAATGATTTTCAGATTTAAAATAGAATTCAATACATGTATGAAAATCAAACGAATCTGAAGGCCAGTGAAGGACACAGACTTAAATGTAGCGAACAAATGTATCTCGATATTTAAGTGCTGATCAATACAGGAGAAGTAAACCTATCATGGCAACTGGTGGTCACCTGAGATGATTCATCTTCATTGAAAGCTAGTGAGTTTAGTTCAAAGGCTCAAAATGATGAAGACGATTTTATGGTTCCCTATTTGTAAGTACAGTGCATTTTAATCCTACAGATCCATAAGAAAGAAAGCGCCAGCAGTAAACTACATGCAAGTTATTATTGCATAGGATATCCTTTAAATAGATTTCACGAATGATTAGCAGTAAACTACATGTAAATTAATATTGCATAGGATATCGTATAAATACATTCCAGGAATGATTAGCAGGTATTCTAAGTTTTGATATATCATCTTCAGTTATATGTCGTTTTTCTTTGGATTTTTTTATATTTTTTAATTGTTTAGTAATTAGCTTGTTGATGTGTCAATATTCTATGGATTGTATAGGAATTGTCGGCTTTGATTCATTTTGATATTTTTTTGCTATAGTCAAGATGGTTTAAAGTTTGTCAGCGGATTAAAATATTCATTTTAATTAGGGGATTTCAAGAAAAGTCGAGTGTGAGAATTGAAAAACACATTGAGAGAAAAAATCATCTTTGAGAAAGGGTTTGTCTTGCTTGGAAATAAGAATGATTGTCTTTGTGTGTATTCAGGGGCATTTTGATATTTTTTTGCTATAGTCAAGATGGTTTAAAGTTTGTCAGCGGATTAAAATATTCATTTTAATTAGGGGATTTCAAGAAAAGTCGAGTGTGAGAATTGAAAAACACATTGAGAGAAAAAATCATCTTTGAGAAAGGGTTTGTCTTGCTTGGAAATAAGAATGATTGTCTTTGTGTGTATTCAGGGGCAGAGCCAAAATTTTTCAAGAGTGGCAGTCTCGTTAGGTAGCGTCGCATGAATTTTATTTTTTGCCTAATCCTGTTACAGAATTGTGTTAAAACTAAAACTCTAGTAACCCATGACAGAGAATTCAAATAAGTAGATCCAAATTGTAAAAAAGCCAAATTTTGTGTATTAATCCAACTGCAATGTGTTAAAACTAAAACTCTGGTCACCCATGACAGAAAATTCAAATAAGTAGATCTAGATTGTAATAAAACCAAATTCTGTGTATCAATTCAACTGCACTATGTTAAAACCAAGACTCATGTCACCCATGGCAAAGAATTCAGACAAGTAAATCCAAACTGTATAAAAACCAAATTTTGTGTATTGATCCAACTGCAAACGTCGAGTGCTCAGCGCTTGAAATTTCTCGTTAATAACGTCGGTGGTGATTTATTGTGCTAAATCTCATTCAACAAACACATTGATAGCGTCAGCAAGGTAAACGTCCAACATTTTGTTCCTCAATCGCATTTTCATTATCTTGAATGAAGAGAACAAACTTTCTGATGATGCACTATTGACAAATAAAGTTAAAGAAAAACTGATTAGTCGGAAAAAAAGATGATAAGTATCAGACTCTTGAGTTCAAACATCCTTATAACTAAAGCAGAAAGAAATAAAAAAGCTTCATTTAACCTCAGCTTTATGCAAAATTGCAGAATCTGTTGTTCTAACATCATCAAACCCAACCTACTAAATCTTTTACGTAAATATAAGGATAAAAAGCTATCTTATCTACAGAAGAATTGATACTCAATGGATTATTGGAACCATATTGATGTAATGCAGCAATCATATTGTTCAAAATCCTGTAGATACATCCGGCCCAACTCAACTAGCTATGAGACATTTCCATGAGTGAGAAGGTGGTCTAGGCATAAATAATCCGTTTCAGCAATGCATACAAATATTGAGGAAAACGGTCATCAAGCTCATTTAACTCTGAATCTACGATGGTGAAGAAAATCTCCACATGATAATAATGAACCTAGATTATGCTGTCAGCATTGCGACGAGGAAGTCTCGTAAGCACATAACATGATTCCATATTAGAGGCAACAAAGTTTTTTGCGAGACAAAAAAATTGAATCGCTCCATGTACCTTCTTTCATCCTTCTTCTGATCTCATTTCTTGCAATTCATACTTCGTAACAACAACAAGGTCATAGCGTTGAGTATGTCTTGATCCTTACGCTGTAAAGCTTCAGAAAGAACTGCAGACTTGCTTAAACTTGTCTTCATAATATGTAACATTACAACAAAATCGAAGCTACATATCGCTTTCAACAGTTTTGACGTTTCTGCTTTCAAATCTGTTACAGTCGCATCTTCCACAATAATTTCAAAAACTTTTACAATTGAATCATGCAGATCAATCACTCGACAAATAGAAGCAAAATGAGTTTTTCATTTTGTCTATCCTGATCACCGGAGTGATTGCTCTTGATTTAATCTGCGACTTGTTCTGATTTCTTCGCCAACAATTGCATCACGGATGTTGACTGTTATGTAATTCTTTAAATTGATCCGCACGTTTACAAGAAACATTTACCGTGACACATAGTGACAACAGTTCAATAAAGAACCAGCAAACTTTGATATGATTCTTGGCTGTTGACATCAAAGCAAGTAGAAGTCGATGTACAAAATAATGAACATAGAATGCCAAAGGTACTTCTCTTTGGATGATAATCTTCAACCCGTTTAATGTCTCCACGTATACTAGATGTTCCATCATATGCTTTTCCTTGTACACGGGATAGCAAAACACTGTTTCATCTCAAAGTGAATACAATGGCGGCCATCAACAATTCTGAACGTGTATCAGCAACATGAATCATATCCAAAAATCTCTCCTTAATTATTTCAGAAGTATTGACAAATCTTGGAATCAAAGACATCTGATTCTTTGTCGATTCATCTCGAGCCTCATCAATCAACAAATAAAAAAAGCTGTCACCGATCTGCTTCACAATATGTTTTCGGACACACGAAGCCATGATCCTTAGTATGCCATTCTGGATGTTTAGATGTGTCATTGTCGTATTCTTTGGTGCACGATTGAGGCAAACACATTGATAATCTGCAGAATGTTGATTGAAAAGAGCAAGTAGCTCAAGAAAATTTCCACAATTGAATGAATCTCTAGACTCATCATGATTTCAAAAGGCAAGATTTTGATGTGCCAAAAATTGCACTATCTTGATAGATGTTGTCAACCGAAGTCTGTGGTCAACTTTTTGTTGTTCACATTGACGATCTAGTGTGGCTTCAATCAAAGAATGTTGGTACGATAATGACTTCCAAGCAATGAAGTGCAAAGAGTGAGCAGAAGTGCAATTATCGACATGTTTTGCCAATTTATAGTCTTTTACAGTAATTTGGTTCTAGCTTGCAACACTTTTTTGACAAATTGTCTTAAAGCTTGCGTATCCTACGCAAATAAATAACAGAGAAAGCAATACTCAACATCCTTTGCAAGATTGTATCCAAGCTGAGGATGCAAAGCAAACCATTGAAAACATAAACGACAAAGTTTACCATCATGTTTTACAGTAGTATATTTTGACAGTTTAGGTTGAAAAGATCACTTAGAGATGTAAAACTTCCATATTTTATACCTTTGAGAGACCAGATAGGACAAAATACTTTATCTCATACTTGGATCGCGCTCTAATGCCATCACAAACAGATTTTTTGTGCACTTATGCTTTGATGCAAGAGATATTAACATCACTAATATGTGCAAACTCGACTTCTTCAACCACAAAACAATAAAAAACAGAAAACACAAGTGTCATACTTTTTCAACCTTGAAACAATCAAAAGCAAAAAATAGAATAGTCTAATTTCTCTAACCACAAAACATTTGGATGAAAAAAACTCATCTGTGTATGTATAAAGTTTTTCATTTTGATCCTACTAAAATTTACATTGAAGGAAAATTAGCAAAATTAATGAAGCGTCAACAGTTTTAGCAAACATACAATGTATCAAAAACAAGTTACAATGTGAAAAAAAGACTAAGCATCAGAAACAAAAGCATACAAATCAATTAGAAGATAGAAGAAGCCTCGGAGAATCAAGAAGATAAATGTTGTTTTTTTTGTACTTTTGTGTACATTTGTCTTTATTTTCATCTATACCACGTAGGTGATCTCAAAGACAAACAATTCGTTCAAGGAGCGATTTCACGGGCAAATAGAGTCTCCAACTGGTAAGGACGTGCCCCCTTTCTTTAACCATCTTTAGTTAGTTAAAACTAAAGTAGAGGTTACTCTAAATATTGATATATATACTTTAGTGTGCACTAGTCATATTTGCCACGTCAGCGAGCCGCGCACTTGGTAGGTACAGAGTGGATGTGTTAGTTGACAATGTCACGTCAGCAATCCGTGTGCTTGTAGGTAAGGATTGAGTATGTTAGTTAGTGTGTTAGTTGGGAGCGTCACGTCAACGATCTGTGTGCTTGTTAGGGTTATCCGCCACGTCATCCATCCACTAGTAGTGGGATGAATGGTGGGGATAAGATCTTATCTCCTTGTACTTGTTGATGAGAGCTATATAAGGGAGAGTAGAACCATTGTTGGTATCTCTCATCTTCATAGTTTACGTTTCTATCTTCGAGTGAGCTTCTCTCTAAATCCTAGTGTTACAATGGTATTAGAGCAACCTTGCTCTTTCCTTGAATGTGGATTACTCCTCATGGAATAGCAAGTGAGTGATGATGGAGTGCAGTTTAGAGAGTGTATAGAGGTTGTCAGAGGTCATTCATCTGCATGTAGAGAGAGGTGGAAGGTGGAAAATTGTGGTTTTGCAGATATGGACGGGATTGAAATGAATCCAATACCGCACTTATCAATTCCTAACCTATTCGATGTTCACCTTCGTTGCATGGAGAAACATCATTTTTGGATGTACCTTGTGGCTTGTTGGGGTGCAGACTTTATGACTAAAGTGATGGAGTCAAGAGTGCCACTAATTCTTCCTATAGTTACTTATGAAGAGACTTGGGATTGTACTATATATACATTCTATACTGAATGTTTTATAGATTTGAATCGCGAACCACCCGTCCCGGTTTGGTTCAGCACTTATGTAAAGATTAGAACAGTATATCGACAGAAAAGGATATGGATAGATTTGCTTGTGATGAATTATGGAGAGTAGTACTATAGAGCTGTGATAGAATCATCTTTACCTTTTGTGGCTTCTTCGTTGAGAGGTCAGATAGTAATTATATTCACTTTGTATTAGAGAGAGTGTGAGAAAGCATGGGGACATCCATCTATGTGGGTGAGGTTCTCAAAACAATCATGGCGGAGGTGAAAGGGATGAGAAAAGCAATAGTAGATGGTCATACCAAGCAGCAAGCCATGGAAGATAAAATCTTCGCATTGGAGAGTGAGAAAGTAGAGAGAGAGAGAGTTGGAGAGATGGAAGTTGAACCTCAAAATCAAGCTTCCCAAGTTCAGCCAAAACCAACTACTATTGATGTGTAACACTAAGGTTAAGAGAGAAGTTCACTCGAAGATAGAGATGTAAACTCTGAAGATGATAGATACCAACAATGGTTCTCCTTTCTCTTATATAGCTCTCACCAACAAGTACAAGGAGATAAGATCTTATCCCCACCATCCATCTCACTCTTAGTGGATGGATGACGTGGCGGATAACCCTAACAAGCACACGGATCGTTGACGTGGCGCTCCCAACTAACACACTGTCATGGAGTTTCGAGTCGGGTCACGCAGTTTGAGCACTTACTATATTTAGACGTGGAGATAGGGTTCGGGCCGCGAGGGGTATACAGTCGGGGACGGCTCGAAGAACGTTAGTTCTTCGAGTCAAGCCTAGCCCGTTGGGAGTAGTGCCCTGGAGCATCGACCTGCCATCTCCGAGTGTGGAGTAGGTTTGGCTTGACTATGTTTGTGACGGTGACGGTTTTGCCTGTAGGGTAAACAACCAACAGGAATTCCTGTGGGTAATCTCCCGTTTATTTCACTCAAAGAACTTTCGACGTTTTTGTGTGTACTAGTTTTACGTTATGTTCAGCCTCTTCATGTTTTCATCGTGTGTTTCTCCCTTTTGCCGTTTGTTTGTGTGTACCTTTGGGCAATTTCAGTAGATGTCAGAAATTGAGTGTTTGAGAGAATCGGAGTTTCGAATTGAGAATTCGGTGCAAAAAGATGTGCAGATTTGCTGGAAAGCAAGATTTAGCAACAGCGTGTGTTAAATTCGAGGATACTCCACTATTTCAGTTTTCGTGCAGCGTGAGTTTTGAAAGCTGAGTTCGGTCCGTGTCGGTCGGAACTAATGGCAATTTTTATGGGAGATTTTCGGTGTATGTGACGGTTTTGACGGGTTTTATGATTGAGTAATTGTTTGAAATCAAAGCTGCTAATCGTCTGTCCCTACGAGGTTTGGCTGGGCTGTGAAGAGTGGAATCACATGCAGAGGTTGTTCGCGGGACGACTCGACGATGTGTTGATCCAAAACGGGGACTGATTGATAGGCAGAGTGGAGTCTCCGAAAGGTGAGGTGCGACAGTCTGCAGCAATATCGTTAGTTATGTCGGAAATGTCATATCATGGAAATTCAGAAGGAAACATCTAAGGTCTGAGGGTGATAGAGTAAGGGGAGCGAGTAGGTGGAACAATGCACTCTCGTCGATTCGTCATATTCTCGGTGACTTTCATGAGAGTGTTGTTGTGGTAACCCACTTTTTGCTTTTTCGCGGAATTTAAAACAATTTTGGAAAACAGTACCGCAGCAGCCGTGTAAATGGTGATCGGTACATTTAAATAGAATGGAAATGGATGATCGCGGGTCTCGTAGAATCATCGAGACCTAGATTTTATATGAAGTGATTCAAAATCCCATGTGATTTATAATTTTTTTGCTCTCCATTAAAAAATTTGTATGTTCTTTGTTCAAAAATTCAATGCATCATAGATACCTCACATATATTGTCATCAAAAATTCATGTGTATGTTCAAAGTATATGACAGATAGATTCATCGAGTTATTGCCTGTCTATTTGAGTAAAGTTAAGAATCAGTTTTTTGTCCAGCTCAGCATTCATTTAAAACGTTATGATATATATGATTTGCTTGTCACTAATTCTGCAACCTGTCATTGAACCAGTATGAGTTACTTGTCATTATCGTAGAAACTGTAGATCGACACGAAGCATTCCCAACACCAAAAATGAAAAGAGTATAATGAAATGCATATTTTAGATTTTGAAGAGAGAAACAGATCTATCAAGATTTAGTTCGTTTAAGGTAGGGTGAAAAATGAAAAGGAAATTACTCAAATTATGATAATTTTTTAAGATTCTTCAGAAGAGAATGATGGGATTCTGTAATAATGCTCTGCAATTTATGTACAAAGAGCAGTTGTTTGGGTACTTTGTCAACCAAACAATTTGTTGACAAGTCATCACAGTCGAATTTTCGCCCCACAATTTTCCAGTCGGTAAACAATAAATATGTGTTTTACGACGAATGATCGATGAAGCAGAAGCCATTGTCAAGAATTTACAGGTAACTTTTTCTCAAAGAATATGGAATATTCGATCTTCAAAACGTTCGCAACTGCATATAAAATAAGAATAAAATAAATCTCATTATTATGACTTTTTTTAAGTATCACATATTATATTTTAACATGAGAGATGGGGTAACGTTTCGTTGAGTGCACTATTCAGTAAAAACGGCTGGAAGTATTTTTCAAATTTGTGTTCAACTCAATAAATTATGTTATTCATAAAAATTTTAATTAAGTAACTGAAAAATCACATAAATCAACTTAAATGTTATACTTTATGAAGTTATATAATCTCCTCCTTTTAAATAAGTTGTAGTTTTTAAAGGTTTAAAGTACTTGTTTTTTTTTTGCGTCCTATTAGATGTCTTATTTCTGCCGCTAATCATGTACACAATCACTCTAATATTTCTGAAATATATTGCAAATCTCTAAGATGGACCAAAATTAAAATTTTGTGGATTATGTGGATTGGTTTACGCAATTTCTTCAAAGATACAAGTTAAGGTACAGTTGAGTAAATCGTCATGAAAAAATAATATTCAAGTTAAGATTTGCCGACACCAATACTTTAGGTGCTATTGATTTTACCCCCTGGGCACCGTTAGTACTTTCATCTTTCTTTGAAATAGTATCTGTCAGTCAGTGCAATTACCTTCTGGGTTTATATTATTAGATAGAGTCCTGAAATTGCATGGTGAAGGTAGTGTAATTTACTAGCAAATAATATTATCAATTTAGCTTTTCATCAAATTTATTTGTTTGTTCAACAAGTTATTACTATGACCTCATAAGGGTATTTGTTTCATCAATCATCTATCATGCACTAGATTATTGTATATGTGGATAAAAGTAGATCGTGTTTATTCTATTTGGATAAACAAGCTCATCTAACATGCATTAAAGTATTATCAATGTGAAATATAAAATACATGAATATTGATATATCCTAAAATATAACAATTAAATTTCGTGACTTACAGTCTTTTCTGTATAGATTTTATAGTGTTTTTTGTTATTAAATTTTCTTCTTGTTATTATGAATGTGGACATCTTGGGTGATTGATGATATTATGTTCTAAAGTTATATTATAGACTAAAACAGATGGTCGTTTATTTTAAAATTGACATAATTTTATGATTTTTTTCCATATGTCTACTTTTGATTTGGTAAAAAATTCATAGAGAAGTACATCACCAGTATTCAATATGAATCACATGTTATTTATTTACTATGGAACATTCAAAATTTCTTGCATCTAAGTTTTTTATCCTTTTCATGAATATCGATAACTTACATTATAATTTATTTATGATAATTAATTGGATGGATTAAATAATTATCAAGAACTTTCAATACAGTACGTTTTTATTACCAGCATTGAAGGTCTTCAAAATGTATGCAAACAAATGCTGATGTGGATATGATGATTCCAATACGTGGCATGAAAGCCAAATGCCACCGTCTTTGCAGAAACTTGCCGGTGCATTGCCGGGGACTCAAGTCAGAAGGCCAGAGGTCCGGCACTCCCGGAAGATTGAAGAGGACAAGAAAAATCTGGAGCAGGCTGACGGAAGGGGTGGGGATCGCCCGTTGAGCCCTGTGCAGATTTCCTCACTCCACGGTTCCCCGAGCCAGCGAACGAGCTCTGCCCCTCCCACACTCTCACTCCTCCCCACAGGTGACGAAATTCGGTGTACGATTCGGTCCTGAAGCTCCTTGGCTTCTCAGCCATGGCTGCCACGTCCAGCGCCCAGTTGTCTCTGCAATGGGTTTCGCTGCAGGCACCCGTCGTAGCTTCGAGCTCGAGCTCGAGCTCAAGCTCTTCTGTGAGGTGCTCCTCGTTGAGTTTGAAGCAGAGATGTGTCCTGAGTTCGGTGGGTAGTAGCGGAACCAGCAGCAGATGCAGGAATTTGCAGGCCATACGTGCGAAGAAGGTCGGAAAAGACAGGAATGGAGGTGTGGCCGAAGCTGTGGAGTCGCCTACGCTCCCCGTTGAGAGTTCGGAAGCTGATGACATGTGGATGGGCAAGAAATTGGAAGGGATTGAGCCTGATTTCTGGGAAGGCGAGAAGTGGGAGGCCTTCGGTTTTGCCATTCAGTATATGTGGTTATTTGGAGTTCTTATTTCGGTATGATAGTTCCTTCTAAAGCCCTTCTGAAGCTTTTTCAGTGGACTTCTTACTCCCGCCTGGGCTCCTCGTTTTGTTTTCGTCTACATTTCCCTTGCACTGTCAAATACCCTTGATATTCTTGAACATTAGGCTTCAATTTTTCCTGTTTTCTTCGTAGTTTGACCTTGTGAGCAAAAGTCTTACCTCCCTCCTGATTTTACGTTTTTTGTCACTTGCTCATGTAACCCCGGATATCTGATTCTTTTCTTTTCTTTTCTTTTGTCGGAATTTCAAAGTTCCCGAGATTTTTTTGTTAGACGTGACATGAGAACTTACTTGGTTTAGTTTCCAGTCTCTCGTTACGAGGCTTTTTGAATTGCCTCAAGAAGTTTGCTGGTTGCAAGGAAGCTAATCTTGCAATGTTTTCTTGTCTCCTTTGTCTGTTTTTGCAGCTCGTAGCTTGTGGAGTCGCTGTTCGAACTTACAACACCGGAGCTACGGATTTCAAAGATACCGCCGTGTTCAAGGAAGCTATGGATTCACAAGTGGAAATGGACTCCTCAGTTTTTGACCAAGTTGATACTGAAGGCTTCACAGACCCTGGACAGGCGCCTCCTATTGAATGAGAGAAGAACGGGAATGTGAGATTCTCGGAATTATCTGCTTCTACCTTCTCCACCCTCGAGTTGGATATGGTCTGATTTTTTCCCGGCGTAGTTTTCGTGCACTGTTTGTGGGTTGGACTGGGTTAGAGGTTATTTGGAAGAAAATTACTGCTGTTGAAACATGTAATGTACGAGACTTTATAGGGCAGATTAGCTTAAGTAAACTACGAAGTCCTAGTATTAAAACTAGTGCTCTGGTCTAACGCTGTCGAACTTATCTTATGGTTGCTGTGTTACCAGAACCCCCCGTTGTCACATATAGGCTACTCTTGTATATTGTTTATGAAATTGTAAGCATGGAATTGTAACCTATGCACACGACGATTGCAAAGCTTGACCATTGTAAGATCCTCCAAATTTGCAATGTAGAATCATTCGATTTCCTTTTCTGTCTCTTCGCTTCCCTGTATGGTTTCATTCAAATACTTCATAACGTTTTTGGTTCCTATTGCAATTCTGGTGTTCAGGCTGGTGACAGTGGTCACCAGTGCTTTGGGCCTTTGTCGCTTTTCTTCCAGTTCGACAGTTTCAATTTTATAGCTCATGAAATGCTTACATATATGGACATCAGTTTCATCTACACAACCACATGAAGTGTATAGTCCTTTTGCATGTTGAAATTCTAACTTCATGGATTGCCTCGATTATTGGTATATGATCACAGTTTGGAATAATTTGTCAATAATTTTTGGTTTGCCGTAGCTTCTATCGCGGGAGTGCAGGCCACATTGTCTTGGATTCCCGTTCAGCACCTGGGAGACCTAAACATTATCTTCAGTACATTTTTCATGCAAAGCATACAGGTGTGGGAATGCGATCAGCTCGAATAACCTTTTTTTTTTAATCTGACATGATCTATTTTCATTGTGAGAAACACTTACCTTCTTCTGAAGGACAAAGCTTTCCGCCCTCCCCACACCCATCTGGCTGGTCAATCCGTTTCTGGTTAAACCCTTCGAGCTGCACCTGTACAAAGTATTTAAGCTAGAAGCAGCAGTTTCAGCAGGTGGTTCACAGGTGACTCATCACCGAAATGTGTCTACTAGATGGAGAGACAACATATGACGAGGTGAAATTCAAGTCAGCTACGTTAAAAGGGCTCCGTACCTCGATATTTCGTAGATAAATTTTTTGTCTTGTTTGACTTGCGTTTTTTGGCGTTTGATGTCACGTCCAGTGAACTCAACCCACTCATATTGCATTTTATGTGTCGATGTCGGGATGAACTTCTCACTCCGGCATGAAGCCCGAGCGTCGTCGGAGCTTTGTCTCTTACCAGGTAAAAGCACACTGAAGAAACTTCCAGGGATACTGGCGGTAGTCAAAGGATCTACTTCGAGTAGTCGAGCCAAGTGAGGTGTCTTGGATGCTTTTTGCTGTATCTAATTTTGATGAGTTGCATAAAAAATTGCTCTTCCATGTCGCCCAACGCTGTTCTGAAGACCTTCAGTACTTGCTCTAGTGTCTGCCTAAAATCCTCGGAGTTCTTGCCAAATTTTCTGCGAACATAGCCTAGTAACTGGGATGAAGTGCGCAAACTCGCGTATTGGACCCCTCCTCCATAGATGGACTGTTCAATCGCCGCGAGCTGCTGAAGTGCCTGAATCGTCTGGCCGAGATCAGTCCCTGTCCTGGCCATATGGAACTTGTTGCTGTAAACCGCCATGAATGATACCCGCACCCAGTTCTTCCTCTGAGCGTCCAGTACCAAAGGCAAGGACTCTATCGCACTTTCCACTCGTCCGATCATATCAATAGTTTTGATTACTGCGTCCATTTTTTCTGACTTTGTGGACTTTTTGCTTGAGAAGTGGGCATAATTAGCATCCAGTTCCCTCCTCAGCTCATCTAAGTACGGCTCAAGCATTGCGTCCTGCAGGCATCTTTCACAACGGCACTCGAAGCTCCATTTTCTGATGGATTTGCGCCGATTGGGTTTGTAACAGGCAGTGTACGAGGTAGTCAGCTCTTCTCCAGGCTCAAGGTTTCTAGCAGCTCTTATGAACATTGCCTTCCCCACGAACATGATTCCAGTACTCGGGACGCAAGAGTGGTTCAAGAAGGACGGTAGAACCCAGACACCAGACGATATAACCGGTTCAGTTTTCCCCTCTGATTCAAGTTTCTGTCCATCAAAGAGTGCTCTCGATGCATCAAAGGTATTGAGAGTAACTCTTCTCGCAATGTCCAAGAAAGATAGGCTTACATCTTTGCTGGGATCGGGACACCAATCACTTCCAGGAATAAACATCTTCATGTCTGGAATCTCCTGATTGTCTTGTTCCGGCTTACCACTAGTGAGGTAATACATCTGATGCGCCCATCTCTTTGATGCCTTCAGTTGTTTCATAATCAGCCGAGCAAGTCTCACGCTTAAGTCGGAATTGGTACTCGAGGATGAGATTGAGCTTATGGCTAACGCGTTGCACACAATAAGAAGACTACCTGCTTCGACCTTCTTGGTCACAAATAATCCTCGGCCTGCATGAGCGACCTCTTTGATCACCACAGGGCCGACGTAGTCGCTGCATTCCGGAGGAGGTCCTGAGTAAAGGAGGAAGTGGGAGAGGTCATATTTTCCGGAAACAGACTGATGGTGGCTCGTCATGCTCTCATGGAGAGCAGCTGCTACTTGCAAATTATTTGGGTTCCGGTCCAAAGCTGCCCCGAATGCTTGGCAAGCCTGTTTATACTGCTGGAGACTATGCAGAGCTTTTCCTCTGCGGATCAAGCTCTGGATATGGTGTCTGTCAAACTTAAGTGCTTTTGCTGTATCGTTCAAAACCTCTTCCCATAGCTTCCCGCTGAGGTGCATTTGTGCCCTGTTCGAGTATGCTAGCTTCAAAATCCTCTTCAGAAGCATCTTGCATGTCGGAGACGTCGATGGATCGAGAAGGGAGGACTGCCCTTTCGTGATACACGCCGTGTATCGAGCAAGTGCTCCATCGTAGTCATTTTTCTTCAGACGATCGTTACCATCTCGGCGAATGAATTCAAGTTGAATTGCAAGGAAGGGTAGAGGAGGAGGCCCCTTCTTTTCACATCTATACCACGTCGTACGTGGATACGGTTGAATAGATTTTCCTTTTTCTTCGTCGCTGCTTTTAGGAGAAAGTTCCTTGCAATTGGGTTCACTTATATCGCCTAGAGGACATGCTTCCTTGCCTCTACTCTTAACATCGCTGACCTCGAAGGTTCCTTCGCTTTCACTGGGTGCAAAGTCGGTGGATTCGTGACTTTCCTCTCTATCTGGAGGTGAGGAAGTCATGCTATCAAGCGCATCTTCAGCCGCATCATATGGGTAATAATTAGTAGCATCATACGTCCCTTGCATCCTTCCATGTAAGGGATCTGTTCTATTGTATTCTGTTGCGCTGCTTCGAGGCGAGGAGATTTTGCTCTCGTATTCATCATCGCTGTTACGAAGCGTGTAGCTATCTTCCAAGTCAAATTCCTCGTCGCTGTACCGAGGCGAAGATGTTTCGTGTTCGCAGGTTCCTCGGTCGCTTTGAGCATCAGGATCCGGGTGGCCCTCGTCTGTCCTGCGAGGGGACCCCATCATCACGCTCATGTCTGTTCACGTCAGCAACTTGTGGTTTGTGTTTCTTCTGTCACGAGTGTATATTCTCACCTCGTGCAAGGCTTATGGGTGGAAGCATTGGACATGCAAACAAGGCTATGGCCTGCAGAAGACCGCATCATATGAACAAAAACTGGTCACAAGGAAAATTTTTCGACTTATTCCTCGAGCAGCTCAGTGTACAGGCCTCCTCTGAACATCTCCCCAATTGAAACGTCCGTGCAGTATCCAAATGAATTGCACCATGTAAGGCAATGTATCAATGGCTTAGGCCAGTTTAATTATGAATTTCCCCTCCTGTGCTTTCGTACTGGTCCGCGCGAGTCTGTAGGAGGAGACGATGCGTATGATTCTTCCGATCCGGGGGATGGGGATATCACCTGAAAGCAGTGTTCCCTCGCTAGTGCGTTTCCACGCATTTACGTGTCAGTCGCCCAAGACGTAAACAGCCAGCCTTCTCGCGGATTCATCCATGGCCTCTGCGAGGGCTGTTGTTGTAAGAGACGTCGCTTCTATGCGCTGCGACGTTCTGCCAAGGCATCTGAAGGCCGGCGTCTAATCACCGACGGAGTGGAACACAGTACGATGACGTCAACTGATAAGGGAGAAAGTGGCCGAATCGACTGATAGACACCCTAGAAAATTGCCCTCGACGATGCGCCGCGACATCGTCGATGGCTTCCCCTTGCGTCCTGAAGGGCCACTCTTGGCATGACGAAGAAGGTCCACCAAAGCCGTGAAGACCTCTCTTAGAACTTTATTCGTTCTTTGATGCATACTATGTCCCGTCACAGTTAATTTGAGTAAAATAATGGAGGCCGTTCTCGGATACAGTCACGTCGTAGAGTCGGAAGTAGGAAGTGATTCAAACGTAGGTAGCACACCGGAATTCGACGTGACAAAGTTCTGGAATGGTCTATGGATTCTACATCGATTCGACGCGTAGAGAGGACGAACGTGGGATGTTGCTACCTAGACAATTCACATCGGAATCGATCTGAAACTACGTTCGAAGAATACGTCATAGCTTATGGTACAAGGTCCCTTTGTCCTTGCAGGACGGCGTTTGGAGCAGCTCTTCCTGGACTAGACGGTTGTCAAGCTTCCGAGACAGATGATGCGCCGAGCAGTAGATTTCAGACAGCAGCGAGCAGCTAAACCCTGTATCTGTGAGCACTGACCCCGCAGTTATGAATTTAGCTCCACCTAGCAAATTTGGACTCGGGCTGTATCTGAAGATCCTCTCCCACATCGTGAAGAAGTCAGTGTGTCGAGTACAGTGCGCACGCCATCGACAGATCGATTGACGATTCACGAGCAAGCGACACTCTGCACACCACGGCGTACTGTGGGTGGTGCCGAAGTAACCTTGACCTCTGCAGATGTTCATCCCAAGGTAGTGTGAGTGGTGAGGAAAGACGTACATCGAGACAGCGTAGGTACATCAACAATGGCAATGCAGTAACTTGATTGGAGCATTTGTATGTGGCTGGTTTCTGGAGAATCTGTACCTTCATGTGTTGCCGTATATGCAACTATTTACCACGACGTTCATCAACCAACCGAGTGATTGAATTCTGTCAAGTTGACATGGGGTATGATCGGCACCTCTTGAGCTGTACTATGGGCTCTGTAGTACCATCAATATAGCCACCTGATTGCATGCTCGCTTGCACTGACGTTTATAATGGGCTCACAAGGGACTTACTATCGGGTTTCCGTATCAGAAATTGACTCCCTTGGTCTGCATAGGTCCTCCCGTGACACCGGTCTCGGGATAAAATCTCCACTCGCAAAGATATTGGATTGTCGAAATCAATCGGGAACGGTGTGCCGAAAGATTGGGCCGTGCACGCTGCAACCTGGGCTGTGCAAACCTGTCGCCCTAAATAACATACGTCGTGACCAAGTTATCTCCTTTGACAAAGTCAATACGAATCTCATGCTCGGCTCGAGAAGAGAGCGATAATTGGAATGCAGAGCTTTCCCTGTGGGTCTGCGTCTCCCCGGTATACTGACAGGAAGACAGTCCGACCCAATTGCGAGACTATTCGTGCAGCTTTGTACGAACGTAAAATCGAAGATTCGGATTCCAGATCTAGTTGGCCGATTAAATAACCCTGATTGGCATGGTCTGCTCTGTTCTCCCATGATCGACAGAGTCCATGGAGACGAGGTTGCATCCGAGGGAAAGATGTAGACACAAGATCGGGCATTCTTGCAGAAGCGGTGCGCTGTCTGAAGGTCTGGACCGACTGACTGACAAAGGTTGCACAGGGTCAGTCCTTTCGATCAGTCTGTGGCCCCGGGATCTCCCTCTCCTCTCTCTCTTTCGTAGGTCGACTGCCTACAACCAACTTTTCCAATCCTGTTGGATAAGAAGGCAAATTCTGGCTAGATGGAGATGTCGTGAACGGTGAAACATAATACTGGGTGCAGAGGGAGCAGAGGGGTTGGAGAGATTGGAGCATGCATCTTGTACTTTTCTGTTGAACCGCCCATCATTGACACTGCACTGCAAGTGTTATCTGCAAGATCTATTTGCCTCTGGTGCTGCTCCATCAAAAGCTGGAACTTTGACTTGATCCTCACACAAGAATAATTATATACATCTGTCCGGTTGCAGATGATCATGATCATGTCATGATCAGGAGAGCGGATCAGAATCCTCGACCCCCTGCCCTCTGTGATAGGTCGTCGGAATAGGATCTGACTGACGACGCTTCCAGATTCATATCCACAAGGATTTACCTCCTTCCTTTCCCCGTGCACGTCACCGTCACTTTTCTCCGGGGCTCCGATTGTGATTCACGCACCTCATTCGGTTGAAACTCTCAACCACTACTAGGCACGAGTCTACGGGTACCCAATGCACTTTTCTACCGAGCCACCAGTTACTCTTCATATCATTCGTCGCAATGTGCAGCAATTTTACTGCTCGGCTTTCGAGTCCAGACCTCGTACTACGCTGTCACAATGGTGACGTCGCTGAGACTGGCACGATATGTTACACATCTTGCTCGCCGAGTTCGAGAGTCGAATTTTGTTCTTCGTGTCCGTCTGCTAGTCTTCGTGGCCATGCCATGTCTGAAGTATAAACACCAAGCTCTGAGATTTTCCTTCTGCAATTACGAACGTGTATGATCACGTTTGAACTGTGAGTTGTGAATGTTTGAGGGCGAGATTTCTCATGTAAAAAACAAGCAGCTGATATCTAGAAGATTCAGGATTCCCGAGGTTTCAAACTTGTCCAATGCTCGACGCTCGCCACAACAGGAGCAGAGCAGAGGCAGAGAGCTGCGCAAGCTAAAATCAAGCACTGCAGACTGCTAAGCAGCACCCCAGTCTGCAGCAAGCTGCAGCTGCAGCCTGGATGCAATAACTTTCACCGAACAAACTTGGCTGTCATTTGACGAGAACTTTCATGACGCTCTTTGCTTACAGCTGGCGCGGGAGCCGAGCTCGGCGGACGTCAAGACGATTGAATTCAGAAGTCTGGGACGATTCACAGTTCCAGTCTCGGATGATTGGTTGCACATTTAAGGCAACCGTGCGTGTGTTCCGTGCAAACAAACGTTTCGAGACTTTAAAAGCAACGAACTGCCATTCCCTGAAATTGTGGGGGAAGCGTCAATTAAATCAGGTGTGACATGTACATGCTGCTGTTGCATCCAAAGCAGCATGTCCGTCCGTTCGTCTACTGTCGAGAGCATGTTCGTGAGATCTCCACAGAAAAAAGAGAGAGAGAGAGAAGGCACGGATGTGGATGACGATCCAGAATCTTTAGCAGAATGTCATTGGACCGATCCGACCAGTGGTGGGAGAGTGCAGCAGATCGGTGGAATGTAAGAAAACTCACAAAATCATGATACTGGTCAAAAAGCTGATTTTCTGATTCAGGCTGGAATTAAAAGGGTTCAGAATTGTTGCGTGTGTGGCTGTAAATGTGGCGGAAATCAAGGGTGGAGTACAGTGCTAATCTAGCAAGTTGTCTTCAGTGGATGTTCCTCTGCAGGCCAGCATTTGGAGCGACTGACTGCACTCGCCCGATTTGTCTCGAGTGTGCAAGTGGATGGTTATCCACATGCACCAGAAAACAGTCCTCTCTGTTCGTCGCTCGTGTCGACAATCGAACAAGCAAACAACACCAAAACCGCAGACATACATGAAGACGAAATTGTTCATGAATTATAAACCAAATCCACGAATCAACTTGTCCTAGGAAACTTGCCAGTTTAATACGTTCACTTCACGGTCTTAAGCATGATCACTTGAAGTTAGCAACGGAAACCTCAGAGCTGAAGACCAAGAATCGAAGGAGCGGACGCCTGGTGCTCATGACCATGGAAGTGTCATATCTACGTAGTACAGAGAAAAAGTACTGCTGTGTAATTGCTACCACTTAATACAAATCAGAGCTTTTTTTTTAAAGAAGGTGATAAGGGTATGCTCTAAAGTGTCTATGTGAGTTAAAGCTCTCTTGAGGAAAGTGTGGAGTGTGCTAAAGTTTCTAGACGTAATATTATATAGGCTAATTTTGGAGCAGCTTTTCCTCCTAGCGATCGAACCTTTGGGCATATGGGGTTTCTATCCTTGTTATGGAGGTACAGCCAGCAAGGCACTTGAGGAACAAGCTGTTCATCCCGTCTGTAGCGTGGTATGGGCGATGTGCCTCTGGAGGTATCTATGTCGAGGTGTTACAAGTCACTCGATCGTGCATGGAATATTTCATTCCAATTTTTGTTTTTGGCACCGGGGATGGCTATTAATGCAACCAATCTGGTTCGAAAAGTCAAGAAGAGACATGGAGAAAAGTTGTCTCATTTACCAAGTGCAATGTGTGTATTGACTGTGGGTGGTAAGGTACATTTGATGACAAGCAGGTGGAGCATGTTCTTCTCCATGTGCTAGTTCAGATGATCTGAGCTGAACTTTTACAGCGGGAACAAAGTCTCGCATGTGCCTTCTCTCGAGGTGAACTCTCTCGAAGTGAAGGAAGTGGATGCTTACATTCCTGTTATCAAGAGGACCGATGAAAGCGGTTGAATGTGGCACATGGTCCTCAGGTTCATTCATCTCGTTGCCCTCCCTTGGATCTTATCCGATTGTCCCAGCATTGGATTAATTATCGATAAGAAATTCCGGAAAGACGAGGGCCCATCATTGACGGACGTGAAGGTCCCTCTCGGTCAAAACGGCATCGAGACATGCTCCCGCTTCTTTCCCTTATCCGCAGTAAGTCCCGTACATCACTCCTTTCCAAACACCCATACCTTACGTACCTCGATGGAATGTATGAGTGTGTCTTGACCTGGCAAGCACATGCAGGATGGTTCGAGTTGACCTGATGAGTTTTCGACCAGTATGGTTTACTGACGCGGGCGTACAGTGAATATTTTTTTTCGATTCGTGCCTGATTACGGTTCCGAATATAAACATTCTCCTCCAGAAGTGATCTTAATGGAGTATCTTCAGGTTTCTGTCTTCTTCAGTATTGGCGTTCTGTTGCATGAGAGAATGAGAGTCTTTGTGTGCATATACTCTGTTCTTAAACAGTCACACTAGGATTCTGGTCTTTGACTGGAATCTGAAAATTTGTTTGATAAGCTTCAAGATTCGGACCTCTAATCTCAGTCAAAAGGATGCACATAGTGTCATGCACTTCATAAAAAAAGTTATGACTTGAGACCCACTTCTCAGTTATTTTCTTTCGACATAGAATGTTTCGTAGGAAGTGAAAAAAAAAATTTGGTCTGAGTGAGTGAGTGTGTTCGTTTGTGTCATAAGGCAATAGGTCAAAGTTGCTCCTCTAGAAGGTTGTAAGTGACGAGTGATGAGACATAAATTTGATTTAAGACATTGGAACTCCATCATCTAGTATCAGTGGGTGAAGAATTGAGGTTCTATGCAAGCCATTACAAAAGGTATCAATTTGCGGTTGTCATAGCTTGCTATCTAATTGATTGCACATGGAACATGCTCCACGTTTCTCTATGCACATCCTTTTTGTTCTTCCCGTTGCAAACAATGGGAATGTCTTACCTTCCTTCAGGAGGCATTCAATCACTTGTATGTTATTATTTTATCTGGAAACTGTGCTTCTCTACATACCCGTCAACAGATGAAGCCTGTCGATAACACTTGACACCTGATCCACCTCCATCATATGAGAATGTTATCTGAGTGCTACTATTCCTAGTTTGTGAGGATCGAACTTGCAACTTTGAATGGAATGTTACTGTCCACGCTTCCTCGGTGAAGAATTTATCTGAGACAGTAAGTTCTCTCGGTGTTGCTACATCCCATGATCACTGAATTGTTTATTGGAGCGAGCAGAGATTGGAGGTATGCATCAGATGCAGATTATCGTTCATCATCAGTGCCACAATGATAAAAGTAGAGACGTCACGCTCCATGATACGTGAAATAACTTAAAATATCGTCCACTTGAGGATGAGACTGTTTTCGCTTTTATCGTGATGTTATTGGGGTTAATGTCTTCCAATTCGGAAGTCTAAGGTCTACACACGATGATACTGTTTGTATATTTTCGAAAATAATTGCGTAGCATGTGGACGTTATGACATAACAGAATCATAAAAGATTCATAGTTCTCTGGTTCAAAGCACACAGACCTGAAACCATGATATATCCCAGGGACACATCATATGTCCAGCATATTCCTCCTTTTGTTGAGAGTCGTTTCATTCCGTTGAATACATAAGAAATTGGAGTTTTAAAGTGCAGATACCCTTAAAAGCTGATTTGATTCAATATTCGAACTCCCACTCTCCGTGGCCCCTAGATCTTCAAAAATACTGATATTTGTTGAGATTAGAAGTCATCCTTTGAGAATCAGATTTTTTTTACAGCCTTATGAAAAGCTGAGCCATCATGGCCCAGCCTACTGCCTTACAATGCATATTACATGATCTTGACATCATTCTTTTGATCCCTTAGTTGTTTGCTCGATCACATGACCCTTTGTGCGTAAAAGTTTCCATTTTGGTGGGCTATCGACGCTAGACTTTGATTCAGGATGAGATTCCTCTGAAGTTGTATATAAGGAATAAAGCTCAGGGTCATCCCAATTTCCTGAAAGAACCACTGAACATCCTATACACATGTTCTTTCCTCCATCCGACCCACTCCTCGTGCGCTAATATTGACTTCTCTAACTTTCACCTCCCGTTCATGCTTCTGTTGAGCAACAAAAATGACTTCTACATGATTTCCATCCTGTGATCGGCTTTTATCTCCTCCTCTTTAATCCAAATTCAAAAGGTGGCTCTTCTGTCCATGATGTTCAGGTGTTAAATCATACAACGTCCCACCAGTTTCAGTTGTAAGGTATCACAGCAAAATACCAACAACTGGGATGAAGTGTAGATTGGATGTGCATCGCATCCGATCGGCATTTTTTGCATGCTCGAGGACCTTGGACTCACTTTCTCTGCTGTCACTTTTTTATGGAAATATATGCACCTGTCATTGAGCATTGGATCAGACCTTTAGTACCTCCCGGTTGCCATTCTTCCTGCTTACTTTTTCAGAGCAGTTACACCAGAGTTTGGGTAACCTATGGAGAAAGATCGTGATATAGACCACGGGAGCTTGAGATGGTCCTAGACTTATAAGACGGAACATTTTAAGCACATCTTATTTCCACTTTGGAATTATTATGATTCTCTTCCTACAATATGACTTCAAGAGAAGTAATTCGAGAAAATCATTCGTGCATGAGTAATGAAGTTGCCTTTAATCATTCACATTTTTTCATTCGATTTTATGAAGTATAAAGTGAAATATGTGCGGGGAAACCATATCTCTACCAAGTATTTATGGAGTCAGAGGGTGTGAGAAAAGATCTACCGTCAGAGTCCGAGCTCATGTTGAATGAGCCTTCTTACTCGGAAGGAGACCGGAATTTCAATAATTTAGTTTAAAGACCGAGGAAAGCCTTCAGGAAACATTCACATCATAACAGACATTGACGTTACAACTTTGACATGTCCACCAGGTCCTGACTTTCTATCACGGGATGGATGATCACCGACTTATGGGATCTTGAATGGCCAAAATAATGTAGTCGATTCGCATGTGGCATACTATTGTAGCGTTTTTCTTTCGCATGATACGGTATAGATAGAATTCTTAAAGTTCTAGAAATATTACGCGAGAACTCATTATTTGCAACATAATCAAGGATACGTGATGGGCGTGCATACTCTGTTGTGGCTGGCATGAATCACATCTGTTGAAAACAGCTGGAGGCATCCCACGCTGGGGATGATCCTTTTCCCACTACTTGATTGATATATTTATGATTCTTGAGATGCTGAAAGGTGTTACCTCTAATGGCCAGAGTAGCAGTCTTCTGAAAGAGGGCTTCTTTTCATGTACAGGTACAGCTCTTTACACTTCAAAATCTGGTAATCCAAAGCTGTAGCATATCCATTAAACTACCGGAAACATCTTTGAGCCCAACAACTATGTACATGAAACAGAAGTGTGTAGATACCCTAGAAGTCAAGACCGGTTCCGCCCATGATTTTCTTTACTCCAACCCTCAGTTTAGATATAGATACCCAGCGACGTTCATAGCTTCTTGTTTTTCTGCGGATGGCCCGTTTGCGAATTACTGGTCTGTACTTAGTCTCTAGAAAACTTCAGTATATTATTCCGATTCAAATTATTGTCAGAAAACTTTGTCTTGAACCAGACTTCATCTTCCAGCAATTTCATAATCATGGATGAGCATCACAAGGAGAGAAAACAATACGTGTATCTCACAATACATAACATACATACACCATTTATCAAAATATGCACTAGCAGCCTAAGAAAGAAGCTTATAAAATGTGATTGTTTATTTTAACTGGGAAAGATGTAAAGGGATAAGAATTCCACCATGGTTTGTACAGACAGCGCAACCTACATCATCTCTGCTACTTCAATGGACAATGTCAATACCGGAGCAAAACTTGTTGAGTACAACACAACCTAGGTGCCCAGGTTACTCCTATTGTAGCAAATGTGATTCTTTAGAGACATCAAGGGAGTCAGTAAACCTATTGCTTACACTGCTATATGTATTATAGAATAATAAACAGATTTCCTTCAAAACCGAAGTCACTTGACAAGAACTTATGAACAAGTCAGACCAGCCTCTTACAAAACGTTATTTTGCATCATACTTTGAATGATTGAAGAGTACATCTGACGAAGAGCCATAGCGTTATGTATGAAACCTCTTTGAATAACTCAGTTTTGAGAAGTACATTGATCACAAATCGACATCTTTAAATAGACACTTCCCCATAAAGAACATGGAAACGAGTTGTCCAGAATACTCGAAGAGAGTGAGATAGAATACTCTGTGTGGTGCTTTGCTTCTGCTGACGATGTAGCACTTT